TAATTATATATTTAACATATAATTTAATATATAAAAATATATAAAAATATACCAGGTTTATGTATGCAACAAATTTTTTCTTCATTCATTACAATCGTCAATTTTCCTAAACATAAACTTTCTTCATCATCAGTAGGATCAGCTATCAATAACTGACTAAAAACATTAATTTAAAATAATATATTAGAATTTTGATTATCCATTATATTTTAATGTTAAGTTTCAAATTAAATACTTACTTATCAAATATTGCAAAAGTTATAGAAACTGGTAATGCTTTAATTGGAAATCTTATTCTTTTTGTAGAATTTATTGATACATGTCCAGTTTCTATATTATAAAATATTTCTGGTAAAGTTACTACAAAAAAATTAGATTATGTTAGGAAATATAAAAAAAAAATATAAATAAAAAAAATTATTTTAAATTATTTGAAACTAACAAGTATTAAGTGTAGCTGTTAATGCTCCAATACAAGCATCAATTATTGAACCATCGTAGTTAATACATACAAGATCACAATATAAAACCCATACTAGTTTTCCTTTATAAATACAAAGTTCTTTTAAATCAATAGCTGCTGAATTTCTTAAAATATTTTCTATTAATTTTGTGATAACTTGTGCCTGATCACTTGGTGGACCAGGTCGAAATTTAGGAGAACATAATGGAGGAAGTTCAATATTTGGTACAATATAACCATATTCTGGAGATTCTGCTTTAGGTACTGCTAATTCCTATATTAAATTTATAATTATTCAATTAATAAAAATAATGAATTTCTATCTTGAAAAAATAAAAATTTAAATTTTTACATAATTTTATATTTTTGATTTCATATGTTTTCATATATTTCATTGCTTTTTTTTTTTTTAATAAAACTAATTTTTTAATAAAAATAAACAAAATGACTTACTTACACTTTTAATACCACATACAATTGTTGTATTACCAATTTTGAATATGGCTGAGCTATCAGCATGAGTAATTGATGATATATTTACACTTATAGGACGAAAAGATAAAAATTGTCTGCCATCTGGACGAACATCTTGTGCCTTTACATTTTCAATTATTATAAATATAATATAAATATACTTATATACTTATATATTTTTTATGTTAATTTAATATAATTTATAATTAATTTAATTTATGTTAATATTTATATATATACTTACCAAATGATCTTGCAAATATTTCACAGGATGGATAATTCTATAAATAATTTCTAATTAAATTTAATTATAATATATAAAATAAAAATATTAAAATTTAGTTTAAAATATTAAATTTCTTTAAATTTTATTCAAGCATTATGTACTATTCTATTCTAAAAATTTATTATATTTAAAAATTTAAAACGATACATAGCTATATAATAAAATATTATTTAAAAATAAATAAGTAAAAAGGTTATGTGAAATTAAATAACAGATGTGTACAAAAAACTAATTATTTTTATGAATAAATTTAGAATATTTTATATTTTATATTATATTCATCATATGTAAAAATTATAAATATACACACTAAATTAATAAAAAAATATATAATATGATATAAAAGGTAGATACTAACTTATACTGTGAATCCATAATAGAAATGTTAACTTCTAATGTAATTAAAATTCATATTTTCATATTTTATATATTTTTATATTTTTAACTTTCAATTACTATTATAAATAGAATGATTTTTTTTAAGATATAAATGATTATTTTTTGAATTAAAAAAATAAGAATCATATATACATAAAATATTAATACATTTATACATCTTTTGAGAATCGATTCTGAAAGTCAAAATAAATACGAAAATGCCGGTTAGGATCTATTTATTTATAAAGTTTATTAAGTTACACGCAAAATTTTATTAGATGAAGTGCGACAAAGATAAAATGAGATGATAATTAAATGAAAATATAATTGTCTCACTTTTGTATTTTTTTTTTGATATAATGAAATCGAAAGCTATTCAAAAATGTTCCACGAATATATTAACGAATAAATATGTATATTATAAATAAATATTAATAAAAATTTTTAATAAAATATAACTTTTTAAGTTTCATAATAAAAATTACTTATCTTAAAATTTTTTATTCTTTTTATTTAATTTATTATTTATCCTTATCTGATGCAATACATCATTTATCATTTTAAATTCAAAAAAATTGATTAATCAATAAATTATTTTTTGATTAAATATAATTAAATTTATTTTATTTTGCGATATAATATTTTATAAAGATTTCATTTAATTTTATAATACAATTAAAATGAATTTTGATTTTATATTATATGTATTTATATGTTTAAAATTTATTATATAATGTATTTTTTCTAAAATTAATATTATCTTATGCTTACAAACAGTAGAAAAGACAAATGTTTCATTAAGAAAGGCACAATGTGGTATATATTCATAAAATATCATATCAACGAAAATTAGATAAAATAGAATCTAATAAGAATATATATCGAAATATTTCAGTATAACAAGACGATATAAGTATAAATGGTCAAAATTTCATGAATTCTTTTTACAAAATATAGAGTTAAAAAAATAGTAATCTTCTATCTTTGAATTTTTTTGTAAATATTAAAATAATATACTATTTAATTCTTAATGTCAATGATATCTTCAAAGTTATTCATATAAATTAGATATACATATTAAAACATTAAATTTCAAAATTTAATACAAAATTATTTGAATTCTTTATATACAGATATGTTTCTTAATTCTTTGCATAAATATAATTTAAAAATAGTTTTAACAATCTTTAAATTACTATTAGTTATAATATTATTGACAATTTGAAGTTATCAATTTTTAAAAATATAGTTTTGAATATGTTCTTATTCATATTGCTGTTCAATATAAAATACAATTAACTTCATCGGGCAAGCGTAGAATAAAATTTAGGCTGTAACAAAAAGATATATAACAAATTATTAAAAATTTGATAAATTTTTAATTATTATTAATATTATACAAAATTGCTCACCTCATGATCATGATTTTCTTCTTTGTTTCCATCATCATCATCACCAGAACTGTCACCTCCTGAACTATCTGCTGAATTACGTTGTTGATCTTTATTATTTAAATTATCAACAGTAGATGGAGATGATGCTTTTACTTTACTGGCTGCATCATAACATTGTAGACAAACTCTAACTGCTTTTCCATTTCCTTGTCCAGGTAATAATAATTTTTTATTGCTACAAGGTCCACATACAACAGCTCCACACTGCCTACAATGATGCTGAAAATATTGTCTCAATATTATAAATATTTAGAAAATATATTTAATAATATAAAAATAAAATTAATATATATATACCCGTCTATTTAAGACTGTAAATTGTGTTTTATTACAATGCATACAAATTGTAGCTTCATTATCTGGTACCCAAACAGCTGCATGAACTTCAACTGGTTTTTTACCACCTATTAAAGAAATTCAAATTATAAACAAATTATAAAAATATTATATTATATAATTATAAAATTAATTACTTTTTCTTAATAAATCTTCAATACATTTTGTAATATGAGCCATCCATTCTTGTTTCTCTGTTGCAGTAGCAGCATAAACAGCAAATGACTTTGTTACTGTTTTTATGAGCCAGCCATTGCGATATTCTATAAATAATGATAAACTACTAAATTATTTTTATAATTATATATATTTGCAACATTGATTATATTTAATAAGCAATAGATCCATATTCCAAAAAATAGTTCTAAAATTATTATAATGTAATTTATAACAAAAATAGAAAACTCTATATTAAAATAAAATACAAAATTTTACACATACTATATAAATCATATTTGCAAAATAATAAAATTAATTAATATTAATTATGTTTCTTTTATATATCCTAGATGTATAAATAACATATAAATACATATTCTATATATGTATATATGTAAATAATTATACAAATAACATTAAAATTTAATTACAAATTGATTTTAAACAAATATAAAATATAATTTAATCAATAATGAAAATATAACTTACGACCATCATCAATCAAAGATTCAAGTTTAACTTCTTCAAGTGGTATAATATGTTGTTTGTTATACTGTTAACATATATAAATTTTTTTATTATAATATAACATATATTAAACTAATACATATTAATCTTTAATATTATATTAAACTATAAGTAATATTAATTATAAATTAAATTAAATTAAAATTATATTTAATATAATAATTCTTGCATTTATACCTTTTTTTTATTCATTACAATATTTCCATAAACCAATATATCATTAAATAAAAAGAATTGTCTTGGTTTAGGTTTTTTCCTACACATTTTTGTTAACACACCTTCTCCAACTAAGACTCTTCCAGGTACTGCAAGTGGCTGTAATATATAATAAATTTATAATAAATTAAAAGATTTTATTTTTATATCTTAAACCTTATTATACCTAACATTAAAGCATGCCAAATTAAATTATACATATCATAATTAAATTTTTTGATAATATAAAATTGAATATTAAAGAAAAGTTAAAAATTCTAATACACTAATTTTACCTGGCCAGAACTGCCAAAGCAGTTTTCAACCATAGCAATACGTCTGGCATTAGCCTCGCTATTTACTGCAATGCAATATAAAAAATAAATAATCTTTACTTACTTTTTATAATATGCGATAAAAAATATAATTTATTAAAAAATAATTTATTTCTACTAAATTTTTTATATATTACGTATCTAACTAAAAATTACAAACTTCTGAATTACACCGTTACTCGATGCAATTTAAAAATCATAGATTAAGCAAATTATCAATTATCTAAATTAAGAATTAAAATATTTAGTACACATATTAAATTTATATATTAGAAATAAATTAAATTTGAATAAGAAATATAACATTAAATGATAATTAAATGATAATAAATGAAATATAAACTAACCCAATCGGTCAACCATGGTCCTATGAATCAGGGCTGACAACAAGGAAGTATGAATCATGAATATGTTTAGTATTTGTCAATGTTAACACAGATTTATTTTATTTCAAATATTATAAAAGCAATTAATATGTTTAAAAAATCATATAAAAATATTTATGTTGTTTAATGATACAATAATAGAAATAATATTATATATATAATAGTTAGATAAATATTAACTATTATAAAATATAGAAAATAAAATTATATTGATTTTGAATTTATTTCAATTTCAAATTGTTAATTTTTCCTAATAATAATTAATATGCTAATAATTAGTAGCATAACGAAATATATTTTATCTTAAACAATATGTACCACAAATTTTCAAATACCGGATATAATTTTTCGAGATATCGATATCTACAATTTCTCATCAATAAGAATCATATGATTATTAAGGGTGTAGCATATTACAAGTCTTGATAAACGTTTTTTTAGGTTACTTTATATAAACGATAATAAAAGATAACTGCAAAATGAAGATATGTGGACCTAAGTATGCCCTATGTGGCCTGATATTATCTGTTTGGGGTATATTTCAACTGGTAAGTTAAATATTATTTTAACATAAAAATATATTTGAAAGAAATTGTAAAATTGAAAATGTAAAAAATTGCATTAAGATTTTTATGTATTTAAATCTTATTTTTTCTTAATTTTAATTTTATTTGAAGAAAAAAAAATTGATTATATTCTGGTAAATTTAGTGAAATTATTTTAATTATATTTTTATTTATAAGTAAATAAATAAATTTGTAAGAAACCTTCACAATTTAATTAATTCTATTAAATATAAATGATTTTTTATATTAAATATAAAAAATTGATATCTTTATTTTTACAAAAATATTATATTTGTTTTTCAGCTCCTGATGGGAATATTCTTTTATACAAAAAGTGTAGCTTTAATAGAAGATGTTCCATTTGAAGCAAATATCAAAGATACTACAGAATTTTATGGTGCTGCAGATAGAGGTTACAAACAAAATGCATATAATTGTTGGATTGCAGCTTGTATCTATCTTCTTACATTATTACTTTCTGGACATCAATTTTATATAAATTCAAGATCATCTTTAAGTGTTTAAATCATATGATAAAACAAATGAAAACAATATATTTAAGTGTATAATATAATGTATTATAAATAAAATCATATTTAGGAATATGCTAAATTTCAAAAATAGATTTTTTGAATTGCATTATACTTTTAAGTTAAACAAAAAGTTAATCAGTTGTTATTTAAAGTATATTTATTATATTAAAAAAACTGTTAAATATAAATATATGAAAATATATTAATATTATTGTTGAACTTATTTTTTAATATATATATTTCATTTTTTTCTTTTTTTATTTATTAATATTATTAACATTATAAAAGTTTCAAAAGTTTGTTATTTTATTATTATACAATAATTTGTAATTAATATAATAAAATTTTACGTTTATGATACATTATGATACAATAATTTTTGAAAATCTGTATTATTTTGATTTATATGAACTAATATATTAGTTTAATTATTGGTTAGTTATGATTCGACAATGATATATATATATATATATATATAAAGAAATTATTTTCAGATGCTTAAATTTACATTGTAATCAAATTTAATGACATCAAAATAAAAAATTTAAATTTTAAACTGTTATATACATAATTTTAAAATATATTACTATATTGTTACTTAGAAAGAGGTAAAAATTACATAACGTATGTATATAAAATCATAGTATATATAAAAAAATCATAGACAATAATAGGTTATGTATCTATATAATAGATATTTTTTGATTAATGACTACTATATAAAAAATTCAAATTAATTATTGAATATACATATTTAAATTGTCTCGTTTACTATAAAATACTTTATAATTATAATAATAAATAATAATAAAATTAAAAAATTTTCCATCATTAAAAATATATTCTATTATATTAAATAAATATTATATTAAATAATATTAAAAATATATTCTATTATTTTAT